CTTGTATTTTCCAGGGTTCAAGAACTTTCTCTGCAATATTCTCCATCCCCTTTCCCTCCTGCATCCCTATCTCAGATTCCTGGGGCAGATGATTCGGTCAGGTCAGTACCTCTCCCAACCAGACAAACAGGGGCTCTCTGTTTTTACAGAGCTCCAAGTATGAAAATCCTGTAGGCTTCTACAGCCACTTATCCCAGTGTTTAATAATAATCCTCTACAGAAGTTTTGCCTTAAATTCAATCTTTCTTTCTCCTTCCCTCTCTAATGTAAATTCAACTCCTTTCCTTTTTCTCTGGACTTAGTGATTAGGGGCATTATCCTGCTTATTATCCCATATACATGGTCCGGAAGAGTTTTAAAATTCATTTTCAATCTTGTCTGCAAGTGAAAGACAATTTCTTTAAGAGTCTCTCAGAGGTTCTAATTCATAACCGTTTATTAGCTTTGCTATTCTTCCTCTCATTTCTCCTCTCTGAAACTGTGGCTCTTATCCTATTGAATACAAATCTGGTAAAGATCTGATCAGTATCAAACAAAAATTACTTATGCAGTGCTGCTATGTAGCTTGGCTTCAAGTGTGCTTTTGCAGTAGTGTCACCTTGGCCGAGATTAGGCTTCACCAAGACAAGACCCTCTGCTGGGCTAATTTAGGAGCAGTGATCAGGGTGTGTACTGGAAACAGCAAATGGAAGTTAAAATGCATCGTCTTTTCTCTGTGCCAGGTGCTTTACACAATTAGTAAAATCTCCACAATAACCCTCTGCACAGAGCAATTATTATTCTCATTTTACAAATTTATAACTTGGACCTCTAGAAGTAATTTGTCTGTGGTCCCATAGCTAATTCCACAGCTAAAATTTAAATGCAGAGCTTTCTTTTACTCCAGAGGTATACTCTTTTCTCAGGACACAATGGGGCTTCAGGATCTGAATCTCAAATTTAGATCTGCAGCAGTCCAAACTCCTTCAGTGGAGGAAGGGGGAGAGGAGGGCAGAGATTGGAAGCATCATGAATTCTACAACAGTGACCTGCATGCTAATACAAATCGGAGCCTAAGAACCTTGGCTATTTCCTGACTGCCTATGTTCGTATCTGTTCAGTAGAGGTAGGGTGGCATTTGAATCGGGCCATTCCCTTAGAACTATCAAACAAGGTCACTGCCAGACCTTGCCAGCAGTAAAACTGGAGAACTGAGGTATGCCACTCTGCAGGCACCAGCGACCTTGGACATCTTCTTGACTTCATCGGGAGCAAGCCGCAGTGATAGATCTCATCAGGGCACCTTGAGTCTGAGTCCTGGGCCTGTTGGTAAAGTCATTTTCTTCTCCCACCTTTATATCTCTTCTACCTCTCAATCAGCTCCATTTCAAAGAGAACAAATCTACTGCTTTGCATAATATGATTAATTTTTTGTTTGCAAAAGTCAACATTGGAAAAATAGGTTGAATACACCATAAGATAAGAGGAAAATACACCATAGGACCTAATAATTTAAACACCTGTTTAGTAGACTAACATGTTAGTATTTGTAGTCAATCTTAATTTAACACTATAGTACAAATATAGTGTACTTACAGTATATAAGTAATATATTCATATATATGTGAGTATATATAATATATAATTCACACATACATTCTGCATAGGTCATACTTCTATAGTCAACTAGTCTTTTTTCTCCTAATGCTGAAACTTGACCATATCAATCCAGCTCTAAATCTAAGAGTGTTGAGCCATAACCAGACAAGTTTCAGGAATGCAGTTAGTCAAATGTCCTTCGGTGACTCAGTACACAGCAGCCTTGGCTCAGTAGAAAGAGCATTGGACCTGAAGGTGGTAGACCCAAGCCTGAATGCTCTCTTTG